AAATCCCCCACCCAATTCGAGCTCTGCACCTAATCTTTTCTTTTCTTTTCTTTTCTTTTTTTCATTGGATTGTTTGATAGAGAGAGGGGAATCTTTTGCTCCAATTGAAGAAGAGAGAATCTTTATTATTTATTTTCCTCGCCGCGCTTGTTTTTGTTTCAGTTTTCTTCCAATTTGAGACAGCATTGTAATTAACAAATTCAGAAAAAAAACACAAAAATAAATTTCATGTTTTAATTAGTATTTGAAATTTGTTCGATATCGATATTTTTGTAAAATATTTGAAAATCACATAAAGAAATCGAAAAGGATAAAATCTAAATCTCACTACATATCAAAAAAAAAAATTCAATTTCAATTGAAGTCGACCGATTTGGTAGATATTTATTATTTTCAATATACGAGTCAGAAAAACTCTTATCACAAACCAGTGTTTAAATTTTCATCATATCTATAAAAAAATAACCCATATCAAAATCGATATAGATACATCCATTAATATTTCTACAAATTTACGTATTTATATTTCCACCGATACCGATATTTTAAATACTGATTCTAATTAAACTCTTGTTTTAATAACAAATTAATTATTAGTTTTCTACTGGTGGAAATGATTTGACGTGAGTGATCCCAAGCATACATGAAAATCAAACTAGAGATTTAAGATTACCATGGGCTTAAAGGCCCAAAGGCCACTTCTACATGAGATGATGAGAGCCCAAAAAAACAGATGAGGAAAGTCCAGTCCCAAACTAACCGGCCCAAATACTTTATCATCCTCAGCTGCGTGCGTTTTTGGACTTTGGACTCTCCTTATTGGATGCTGAAACATTATAACCCTCAAATTATGCAAACTAATATGGTATTACTAATTCATTCGTGTTGTTCGTCGAAAAACAATCAAAATACTCATATTATAGCACATGAAGTTATAACATTTGTATGATAAGTTCATGACATATTTTTTACATCCTCACTTTATATTATAATTTATTGAATAATAACGTCACATGATGATATGACCTCATACTTAAAAGTTTCTTGTTGTAGTGGCTTGACATGTATTCACAACTACACATCTCTCTTCTTTTTTTTTTTGTCAAACAACTAATTTCATTAAAGAAAAAAACACACTGATACAAAGTAAGGCTTGTCTAAAGACAATCCATAACACAGTAAAAGTTCAACCATTACAAAAGTAAACAAACAAGCCCCAAAAGTGAGCCCAAAATAAAGTGTAAACAAAAAACCCTAGATCTAGAAACGAGAATCAATTGCTTCCACCAAAATAGGCACACCACCATCGCCAAGTTGTCGCCACTGGTAAAATAATCAACAAAATAATGCGAAATGCACTTTAGCAACCATTAAAACCCAAAGCACTAGGGTTGGGCACGAGCCGGGCGAAGTAGAGAGATTTTGAGTTTGTGAACCAGACCTAATCCAACCCGTTTGAAACAGGCTGGTTCGGGACGAGTCCACGGGTCCAATTACTTTCTTCTTTTTTTGTCAGACATTGGGCTGCTTTTTTTATTACCAATAACACATATTTACATTTACAAGAGAAATGCCCACATACAATGTATGGACCTCTAAAGGACAACGAAACCAAGCCCAACATAAAAAACCCTAACAACCTGCATCCTCCGTTGCTGCTGCCATCAAAATGCCCACCAAACTCGAACCAGTGGCCTGAAATCAAGCCAAATCGAGCCCCCAAAGTGGATAAAAAGAAGACTTCAACAAGTCCAGCAAGATCCTTTACAACATGATTTTCCAAAACTAAACTAAAATCAAACCAAAACCAATTAAATCCATAAAATTTAGAAATTATATCCCTAAATCTAGTAACCCATAATTTTCAAAAATCCTAATTCAAACATCCTAAATCCATGAACTCAAAAACCTAGATAATTCAAAAACCCTAATTTAGAAATTACCTTAATTTGAGAGAAGATGACATGATACGATGGTGGTGTTTTCGACAACAGTGATAGGTGGTCACGTTTGGAATGAGAGCTAGGAAATGATGGCGATGGTGGTGTTCGTAAGAGGACTCGGCTCAAGTGGGAGAAGGGACTAATAATCGATAGGGAGGAATTTGGGAGAGAGAGATCGAGAGGGAAGACTCTGGGAGAGAGAGATCGAGAGGGAGGACTCGGAAGAGTCTTCGAGAAAGATGTGATGTATGTGAGATTTGAGTATGTGAGTGTGTGTATGTGTGTGTGTGTGTGTGTATGTGTGTGAGGTTTATTGGATACGGTTTGGGGTAGGGGCCTGTGACGTCAGAAAATTGGATTCGGTTCGCCCCTTTGTTTACTTGGACCCGCCCCTACCCCGGCCCAGGGCCCATTTGCCTACCTTTACAAAGCACGCCTAAACTGAAGTTCATGGATGAAGAACTTGATGAGCCAAATAGCCGAACCAAGTGGGCAGAAGCTCGCGAGTAGGGACAATAATTTGGGAATGAAAAAGCATGAAACTCATATTTGCAACAAGATTGCCAAACATTGAAAAAAAGCTCAAATAAATTGAGACATAGCTCAAGGAAAATGAGACAAACTCAGAGCAAAACAACCAGAAAACAAGGGCCGAAGAAAAAGAAAAGGAAAATGGGGTCTAGGCTGACCCTACCTAAGAAGAAGGGTCGGCGGCTAAAGGTGAGATTGATTTGGAGGTTCTATGCTTGGGAAGAGGGAGTGGCACACTATAGTTTGAGAGAGATATTAGTGGTTTGTCCACCTTACAGATCTCTTCTCTATTTAAGCAATGTTTGAACTTGGATTTATAGTGGAAAATATGTCATTCTAGACAATTTGGGTATATCCATTGCATGCGAGTGACTTTAGTTAAAAGTTATAATGACTATAGTTAAATCTCAGGTCACTTATAAGGTCATATGGCGTTATAATTGTCACTAATACAAGGCCACATGAAAATAGTCTTATAGATCATTGTTGGATCCTCGTCGGATCCCTTCCCCGGGGATTCTAGGGATCAACGCACGTGAACCGTTGATAAAAAATCGTGCGCCTCCAATTAAATGTTTTTAATTTTTTTAAAAGTACAGTGGCCTCATTTTGCGTGAAAAATATAAAAAAGGGAAAATTTGTGGCCGTACGATTTTTTATCAACGGTCCACGTGCGTTAATCCCTAAGATCCCCAAAAAGGGGATCTGGCAAGGATCCAAATCCATCATTGTATTAGTATCTCATAATGACAGTAAACTCGTCTTACCTGAGTTCATTTCTGTTTTTTTTTTTTGGTCGAGCCCAAGTTTATTACTATATATACAAATCAAGATTAAATTGTATGAAACATGTTCATTATCGCGTGACGTTTCAATTCAATAATGCAATGTCATTTGTCGAGAACTTACACATTATTATTTTATTTAAACGAAATGTCAAGTACAGTGAACATATTTCAGGTAAGTCAATCTCGTACATATCGGTCGAGAATAAACTAACATAAAAATGTAATGATGATGATTCGATGAATATTTAAAGGAGAGATGGACTTCCTGCAGCTCCTGAAAGTCAACGCCCTTCCTCGGCCACTACTTTATGTTGGCTTTTTGTCTTTTACAGCTGCCCCTTCTTTCTACAATTTTCTTTTTCTACCCGCATGTTCGCTCATTGACTTTCAGAAGGCATCGGCATCATGCGCCACTTTCGCCCTCCAAAGGCATGTTCCTATGTGTGCGCCCTCAATCCCTATCATGTTTAGCGCATGTAAAATATTAGACTGTGAACTATAGGAAGGTTGACAAATTTTCATAAATCGTCACAGGTTAGCGCACATAAAATATTTAATTGCCTAACATATGTGAATTCTAAGTAGGAAAAGAAATCTCGTATTCGTATCCATTTATCATACATTGTGTTATCAGTTTTTATTATGTACTATTTATATTTGAATTTTAAATTTTAAATGATTTCTGACCGCACGATATACGATGAATATATACGATTGTTGGATCCCTAGTATCCCCAGGAAAAGGATCCACCTCTAAGTAGGTTGACAAATTTTCGGATCCTTTTCCCTCTAAGTAGGTTGACAAATTTTCATTAATCGTCACAACTTACCCCAAATAAAATATTAAGTCTCCTGTCAGCATATGTGAACTATAAATCGGTTGACAAATTTTCATAATTCGTCACAATTAGCGTACATAAAATATTAGATTGCTTGTCAATAAATGTAACTCTAGGTAAGTTGACAAATTTCCGTAATTTTTTTTAAGACTTTTAACGATCTCATGAGAAATATGGAAAAGGATTTATGCCAAGTTCTTTTTCTGGGGATCCGGGGGATTTGTGATTATGATCGTTCATCGTATATCGTGCGATCAATTTTCGTTAGGTACTATTTATATTTAATTTTAAATTTTAAATGATTTATGATCGTACAATATACGATGAATGAACACGATTGCGATATCCCTAGTATCCCCATGAAAAAGATCCGGCGATGATCATTTTCCGTCTAAGTAGGTTGACAAATTTTCATTAATTGTCACAACTTACCGCACATAAAATATTAAGTCGCCTATGAACATATGTGAACCATAAATCGGTTGACAAGTTTTCATAAATTGTCACAATTAGCATACATAAAATATTAGGTTGCATGTCAATATATGTAAACTCTAGGTAAGTTGACAAATTTTCGTAATTTTCTTTTTAAGACTTTAAGATCTCATGAGAAACATGGAAAAGGATCCTCGTCATGTCATTTTCCTGGGGATTCAGGAAATTTCGTGATCATGACCGTTTATCGTACATTGTGCATTCAGTTTTCGTTAGGTACTATATATATTTAATTTTAAATTTTAAATCATTTTTTATCGCACGATGTATGATAAACGATCATGATTACGGGATCCTCCGGATTCTCAGGCGAGGATACTTTTCTGATAAACAGACGAAAGATAAGGTCACGTGTCTACCTATGAGACAGGGATCATGGCAAGAAAGTGAGGGGAGTTGCATAGCATCCTTCCCCGACCTGGAAGAGTACGCTTGATGGGGACGAAGCTTACCTGGGTGGAGAGAGAGAGAGAGAGAGAGAGAGAGAGAGAGGGTGCGCAGGATAAAGAGTGGGGGAAGTGAGTCACCATTTTGTCCCACAAACCCAAACTCCCACTTTTTTTAATTACTTGGGATTGGATTTCTGATTAGGAGGAAGAAGAAGAAGCAGAGAAAAATGGAGGATCTGCCGCCTGGTTACCGTCCCAACGTTGGCGTTTGCCTCATTAACTCCGATAATCTGGTACCCAAATCTTCTTTTATCTTCTTAATCTCTTTACTTAACTTAATTATTCTTCCGACTTTTTTTTTGTTGGGGGTGGGGGGGGGTCTTGGATGTTTATGGGTTAGATAAAATCTAATTTGTTATCATGTTAACTCTGACAAAACCCAGTAAATCGAATCGGTTGTACTTGCATATGTGAGTTAGGCCGGTTGATCAGTGCTCTGTTTTACATAAGTTCGAATCACCCTCGTAGATTGGAGTAGTTTAGAATGTCGTTTTAGATGTGATTTTTGTTTTTTTTTTCACTGGGAACTAACTTGGGTTGGTTGTATACTTGTATTTGTTAAGTGTCTGTATATATTTGAGGGGAAGAAATTGAAACTGTAGGAGATTTTATTGCAGGTTTTCGTTGGATCAAGATTGAATGTTCCGGGTGCATGGCAGATGCCTCAGGTATTAACCCACTTTTTAAAAGTTGCAAATAGAGATTCATGAATCATATACAATGTTGAAACTTGAAAAGCAGGCTGCTTTAATCACATTTAGGGGCTCTAGGGAGGTCAAAAACACTTTCAGACAATCAAAAGCACTTTTAACAACGTTTGGCGTAAAAAGTTAAAATACTTTTGGAAACACGTGTGTTTTTTAGGATTTCTAAAAGTTTATGTTGTGTTTCTAGCAAACGTGCTTTTGCTGAAACAGCTTATGAGCATAAGTGCTTCCGATAAAAGCATCTCCAAACGGGCCCTATGTACAGGATTAAGTTTTTTGCCTACTATCTGCATAATGTTCCTTATAGCTCAGGGTAGAAAGCCTTAGTGGTAAATCCAACACAGTAAAGCCTCTTTGGGAGTACAGATTTTCCGCCAATCACTGTAATGGTTGAACCTTCTGTGTGCTTACTATCGACTTCTTCTGTTTTGTCGAATTACTTTGGTTAACCTTAGTTGCATAATTCTTCGTTTTTGTTTTTCGGATACTAAATCTCAGGGGGGCATTGAAGATGGCGAAGAACCAAAAACTGCAGCTATTAGGGAACTACGAGAAGAAACCGGGATAGAGTCTGCTGAAATCATTGCTGAGGTTTGTATATAGAACACTGGAAAAACTCCATACCATCATGATACTCACAGCATATGTGCATTATTCATGAAGCAATATCTATAATCCCATTTTTTCCTCTGTTCTGAACTTCTAAGTAATTGTTAGATGGAGTTCAAAGCTTTTAAGTTACAGTCAAATTATGTTGCATCCTGAGTTTCATAACTAAGCTGATTGCTGAGGGAGCAGCTGAAGTAAATTTTGCAAACTCATGACAGGTTCCGAATTGGTTGACATATGATTTTCCACCTGCCGTGAAGACCAAAGTTAATCGTCTATGGGGAGGTGAATGGCATGGGCAAGCACAAAAATGGCATGTCCTTATTCCTTCACATGCACAAACTTCATGAGTTAAAAAAACATGAATCTCAAGTCCTGCCTTCTTAAGCTTGGCACAAAAATGGCATGTCCTTATTCCTTCACATGCACACACTTCATGAGTTAAAAACAACATGAATCTTAAGTCCTGCCTTCTTAAGCTTGCAACTTGTCTGCCAAAACTTCTATTAGAATGTGTCTGATGTACTAGGATTATTTCCTCATTAGTCACCAACTTGTCTGTCAACATACGTTTTGATATTAAATTACTGCAGATGTTTGTTAATGTAACATGTGTTCCTATGAATACTCGGCATGTGTAGTAGCGACTCTGGCACATGAAATACCTTTGTATTAGTGTTACAACTGGTGAATTTCGATATTGAGTTTGCTAACCATGTAAATGTTCAGTCGTCATGCTCCTCTCTCGGTTAAAATATGAACTTGCATGATGTAATCTTTCAGTTGTTAGAATGTGCTTCATTGCTGCTATAAATCCGTATGCATGAGTATTTGAATGGATGGCATAAGGATGCACAAGTTTTACTTCCTAATGACGAACTTGGGCAATTGACAGGTTTCTTATGAGATTCACAAAAAATGAGAGCGAGATCAACTTAGCTAATGGAGCAGCTGATCCGGAATTTGCAGAGTGGAAATGGGCTAGCCCTGAAGAAGTCATCGAGCAGGTGCGCCGAAAAAACTATCCTTGTACTTAATTAGTTTCATGAATATGTTTCACGGACATGATAAAAAACGGGTTGTCTGCTGAATACAGGCAGTCGACTACAAGAGGCCAGCATACGAGGAAGTTATGAAGACGTTCGAGTCCTACTTCGATGGAAGTAGTTTATCTGCGAAATGTAGATCGTCAAAATGGTGAACGTTCTTAACTCCTTTTACATCGTTGGATGTGGATCAAGTAGGGCTCGTGCTTTTTGTAAATGATAACGAGAGAACTTTGAAATTAGATTGTGTTTCGGTTGTTTCTGTAACTATATATCAATAAAAATGTATGCGGATGTACTTGTTGCTTCATATGGTTTTTCCTTGACGAAAAGCTCCAGGTACTGTTCACTTTAACGAAAAACCACATTTTTACACTAAAAAGTCAATTCTGGTACTATTTACTTTACTCTTTATTTTGTCCTTATCATTAAAACTCAAAATTTTCAAGCCGAGGTTTTTTTATTTTTTTACTTTTTATTTTTTCAGTTCCATTCGAAAATATCAAGCCATTAATTTGGGCCAAGTAGGCTCCTGGCCAGGCCGAAGCTCAAAACGAAAAGAGAAGAGTATAGTGACAGAAATAAACAAGAATGTGTAATAGACAAATGAGTTTGCAGAAATGATTTGCTGTGTTTCATAGGAGCCAAAAGTTTTCAAATTCCCCTACCTTATTTGGAATTTCAAACGCATGAATCTGAATTAGCATTCTCATGACTAATTCCCAGAAATTCAAACTCGTGCTGTATGCCGGAAAGTTTTAACCGTGATCAGGGAAGCACAAAAACGGCTTTATTCTGAAAAAACGCTTCATTTGACAACCCACAATAGGTAGTTACAACTTACATTACAACCTTAAGCAATAGATCAAAAAAAAAAAAAGGATCAAAGCAAGTTCTGACATCGCGGATTCATCTGCTATTTAATCCTCACATCTTTATGATTGGACCGTATTTACATAAACTATCAGCACGAGCGGCTTCAAGTTTCGTATAGATATGGTACGACATGTTCTACTCATCATCCGGCAACCATCTCTACTTCTACCCACTTCCATCGAGCTGTCCGTGAGATAGGAGGTGCGCCATGTAATGCTGCAAACATGTGCACAAAACGCATAAGTTAAAAAGCACTCTGAACTCGATTTCATTCTACGTAACAGTTATCCATGGACTTGTTGAAGTAAAATCCGGGGCATCGTATTTGAGCTAAAAAAAATCATAGCCGCTGCTTGAGAATGTTGAGGATCGTTCACAAAACAGATCAATCGACATAAAAAATGAACTCTACCCCGAAGTTAACAACGAAGAGGAGGGTGAAGGAAGCAGTTTAGCAGGCATATAATGGAGCTTGTTAATGCTTTCATAAGACCAAAAGTCTCTTCAGAGCTGAGCTCGCTGATACACCTACTAACAACTCCTACAGCCATTCTTTTGGGGTGGGGGAACAACGCAGATATTCACCCCTCCGGGTAGGGGTTGAACTTTATTTTTCTGAAAACATTCGACGCAACACAGTTTTGATAACTTTCCCACTCTGGGCGCAATTTGCCTTACAATGGGAACATATGAATTCTTAAAGCAAAACTGAAAACCACTCTACCCTAAGCGATACGACAAGATGGAATGACGAATGAGAACGCTTTTCTGGCTTGTAAAAATGAGAATTTTTGAATCCGGAAGAATCAAAACACCGATCAACATAGCAATTCTCACAAGAAAAACAGAATTATGAAAATGTAGTTAGAAATTCAAATTCAAGTAGAAACGAGTGACTTACTGCATGATAAGCATAGGGTCCTTTCCCCTGTCGCTCAAAGTGTTTGGCCATGATGCAATACTCAATCGGACCCCATTCTTCGTTTTCGAAACAGTTACCAAGCGCAGCTTTATACAACTGACCAACAAACCAATACAAACCAAATCAAACACATAATTATTTTCGTAAGACGATATTCTAAACTACTCGAATCTCCTTAGAGGAGTTTCCAACACATTGAAAGCTAAAACCTTTTGCATTCAAATAATTTGAGTTCTCTCACAAACCTTTGCCGTGTCCGTCAAGAGCTCCGTTCCAGCTGGGTAAGAAGCATAGAACTGGTCAGCTCTCGAAAACCCAGCTCGAGTTCTGCAACACCAAATACAAAAACCATTGATGAGAACAGTTAAGAACAACAGGAACTTCACAACCCAGATATATTTTTTTTCCCATTTGATACGCGTTCGAGGTAGGTTGTAAAGCGACTCACGTATTGCTTGTGTAGGCGTAGGTCAGGACTGCTGTGAAGCAGTAGAATCCGGCATACGACACCATTCTCCGGAACTTCTGAATCTTCAGAATCTCTTTGCAGCCATTGTACAGATTCATCGTGATTTGCGACTAGAATTTGAGTACCTGAAAGCCAAAACTTTTGCAAATTTCAGCCGCACATTTGATCAAACATGTGGTGTGCCCTTCACTTTTCCGGCGTCGATGGAACATGCAGAGGTTGCAAAATGGCCAAAGTATTAAGCAACTTGGGCCGGCACCACATGTTGTTAAAGAGTTTGACCCGTTTGGAACCCGGCTGGGCCCAAATAACTTTTTTTTTGTTTTTTCTTTTTTTTTTTTAAGAAAGACACGTTAAAAAATAATTTTTTTAAAAAAAGCAGAAAGTAGTTGGACGGACGGTGAGGGTTTTTTGTTTTTTTTTTTGTTCCAATGGATGGACGGTGAGTTCAATTCATATAAATTTATAGGTTTGATTTTAGTTGACTTAAAAAAAGTTATAGCTTTGACTATGCTTTTAGGCCTTTCCAAATCAGAATATCAAATTATTTTAATCAGGTCAAAGATACGATTAACATAATTAATTGATTAATTTCTTTTAAAAAAGCCGGTGAGTTATTTATCAACACATGTTTTAACTTTTATAGCCACCTTCAAACTCCTCTTCAACCTCATTCTCCTCCTCTCCTTTTTGCCTTTCTGTTCTTTCAACTTTCCCTTTATCTTCCCTTGGTCAAATTCATGCCCCACTGTACCACCAACATCCATTAATTCCTAAACAAGCTCACCGCACTAAGTGTGGTTTGGAAATGAGGTGCTTAAAAAAAAAGCACTCATGAAAAAAAGCTGTGAGGGTTTTAGGTATTTGATAAACTGAAAAAAAAAGTTTTATTTTGGAAGCTGCTGTGAGAATAAGCTGAAATCAAAGGAAAAAGCTGAAGCTACTATTTGTAGCTTTGGAAAACTGGCTTTTTTTTCAAAGCACACGGAGCTACATTGCTCCTTTAATGAAAAGACCCACTATCAGACTGCTTTTTTTCCAAAAGCACTTTTACAAAAAAATTTACCAAACACTTTGCTGATTTTTTTCACAGCCGCTTATTCTCATAGTAGTTTTTTTTCAAAGCACAACAATACCAAACCAGCCCTAAATCAGGCTACTTCTTTGAAAACAAATCCTCTCCGGAGCTAAGGAGTTGGAGCCTTCTCATCAAACAATCTGGACCGCTAATTGATGTGCAAGTCAAATCAGGATTATCGATTGTGTGGTGGACCAGTAAAATGAATTAATATAAACCGTTGTATTTAATTTATGCGGCCCAGATTGTTTGATGAGGAAGTTCCCGAGAGGATCCGTTCTCCTCATAGTCAACTCCACCACTTCCTCTTCCATTTTCTACACCTTCTATGAAGCTCAGAGCCTCGAAGCCTCACTCGATCGCGATCCCTCGCAAACCTTGCTTCTCGTTTGGCTCCGAGGCAGCCTGGGATGCTCCTCCTTGTTCGGTAACTTCATGGAGATCGGTCCTTGGCATGACAACCTTCATGGCGGCACGATGATCATGATCAACAAGTACACTTTGTGCTTGAGTCAAACCCGGGTGCTTGGAACAGAGTTTTCGGCCATATTTTCCTCGACAACCCAATTAGTTCCGAATTTAGCATCGCACCTCTACCTTGCTAACACCACGTATATCGAACTTGACACTGAATTGTTGAGGTCTCACCCGCTTTACATAACGTGTGAAAGTCAGGCTGACAAGTATGTGCCAGCAATTGCGTACTACCTATTGAATAAGAATTAAAGTTCAGAAGGAAATTTGCTAATTATAAAAATTCAGGATGGTAATTGGCAACTCCTTAAAAGTTCGAGGAGAAAATCGGTCAATACCTCTTTTTAAATCCTTTTCTTCTTATTATTATTTAGGATGTTTTGTTAGATGATAATTTTAGATTGGTCAAATTTTATGTCCTTCCACACAAAATTTATTTCATGAATAAAATCCCCCTTGTATGGTCAAAGTTTATAAAAAATCAAAATCAAACTCAAGAGTCAAAAGTGCACATGAAGGCATTAACTAACTTCACAATCATCTCACTTGAAATAATGAAACCCAACTGATTGAACATAATAATCATCATAAGTGAATTGCAATGTGACACCGTTTCTTTAAGCTACGGAGGCTGCGATGATGGGTCCCGGTACCTTAGGTTTAGAATTCACAACGCTTCTAGATAACTAATTCATTTTTCATGGTATGAGTATATTATCACATTCGACAACCGTGTTGATGAAATAAGAGATATCTAAATAAAAAATTACACATGTATTTATTTTATTGACATGAAACGTCAATTTGATGATGTAACCGTCCCACATAAGTAGTGTGCTCGTACAACGTAAATATTTATCCACAAAGAATGTAATATTACGTGAGCATGATGATTTCCTTGCATGATCTGTGTCTTTGTGCATTTGTATTGTACGGTTGTACCCAGAGAAAGACAAGAAAGAAATAAATCGCGTAGGCAACAATGCTTGGAGGTGAGGTGGGTGAGATTGAGAAAGCCAAAGCAAATGAATGTCGCAAGAAAACATGCAATTTATTTGGCATCTTGTATTTCAAAGATTGGAGAAATTTTCGGTGTGTCGTAAATTGGAAAAATTTCAATTAATTGTATTATGACATTTAGTATATCAAGTTATTTTCTTAGCATACTGGAAATTTTCTTCAAAACTTCTTGTGATTATAACAACCCCTAAAATTTGTACCATTTAAAAATACCGAACCATGTCCTGACATACTGAAAAAAACATCTCCAAAGATTCTTATCATTACATCAACCCCAAAGACTTTGCTTTACAACTCTTCCACACTTTGTGAGGGTGCAATGTATGTAAGCAAGCACGCTTGGCCGAGAATTGACTTATATAAAGCGACAACTCTTTAAAATTTATCCGCATCATCACAAAATTCAACTTTTTAAGACAATTTTATAATTAGTTTTATAATTAGTTTAAAATACCGTTGCATTCAAAATCACATGTATCATGCAAAGTCGTATACGTCTATTTCCCTATTTATTAAGCCTTATCGTCAAAGGTGTCTGCACTCCCTTGCACTTCACTTTTATCATCAATGGAGTCAACCGCCCGAAACCATCTCAACCTCCTCTTCCTCCTCCTCCTCCTCCTCTTCTTCTTTCAACGACGCGTCGCCACCTCATCGTCCCTCCCTCTCTTCCCCAGAGAAGCCCACCCCACCAGATCAGGCTACCTCCCGGTCAACTCCACCAGCGGCTCTGCCATTTTCTACGCTTTCTACGAAGCTCAGAACCTCACAACGGACATTTCCAAAGTCCCCCTCCTCTTCTGGCTCCAGGGCGGCCCCGGCTGCTCCTCCATGCTCGGCAACTTCTACGAGCTCGGCCCCTGGCGCGTGAATTTCCACAAACACCCTTCTGATCCCCTGGCCTTGGAACCCAATTCCGCCTCCTGGAACAGAATCTTCGGAGTGACCTTCCTCGACAACCCGATCGGCACTGGATTTAGCATCGCCGCTAACTCAGCGGAGATCCCGAGAGACCAGGGCGCCGTCGCGAAACACCTCTTTGCCGCGATCACGAAGTTCATTGAGCTTGACCCGTCGTTCAAAACCCGACCCATTTACATAACCGGCGAGAGCTACGCCGGGAAGTATATTCCAGCGATCGGGTACTACATTTTGGAAAAAAATGCTGGGTTGCCCGCTGGGTCTAAAGCTGTGAACTTGCAGGGCGTTGCGATCGGAGACGGTCTCACAGACCCCATAATTCAGGTGAACACTCACGCCGTCAACGCTTTCTACTCTGGTTTGATCAATGAGAAACAGAGGAGGGAGCTGGAGAAGCTGCAATTGGTGGCGGTCGGGTTGACGACGGCGAGGAATTGGAGCGCGGCGACGGATGCGAGAAACAAGGTGTTGAATACGCTGCAGCAGATGACGGGGCTAGCCACATTGTACGATTACACGAAGAATGCGGATTATAAGACGAGTTTGGTGGATGAATTGCTGAGGAACGAGGCGGTGAAGGCGGCGTTGGGGGCGAAAGGGGCGGCGCCTTTCGAGCGGTGCAGCAATCTGGTGGGGGATGTATTGAACGAGGACGTGATGAAGAGCGTGAAGTACATGGTGGAGTATCTGCTGAAGAAGACCAAGGTGTTACTGTACCAGGGGCAGTATGATTTGAGAGACGGCGTCGTCTCGTCGGAGGCGTGGATGAAGACGATGAGGTGGGAGGGGATTGGGAAGTTTATGGCGGCTGACCGGAAAGTTTGGAAGGTGGAGGGAGAGGTTGGTGGGTATGTGCAGAAGTGGGGGAGCTTGAGCCATGTTATGGTTTCAGGAGCAGGTCATCTTTTGCCGGCGGACCAGCCGGTGAGGGCGCAGGCGATGATAGAAGATTGGGTTTTGAACAAGGGGTTGTTCGCAAATGTTAAGGAATAAGAAAATACGAAATTGTTCCTTAAATTGTTTGTTGCTTAAAAGTGTTTATTTTTGCACAATAAATTTTGGGTTTAGGTTTAAAATCTTCTACCTTTACATAAAACAGAAAAGCAAAGGTAACGATGTCTGAAATCAGTTATTTATCAACACGTGTTTTAACTTTTTTACGTAACGTGAACGGCATTCAAACTCCTTTTGAACCTTATTCTCCTCCTTTCCGTTTCTGCCTTTCTGTTCTTTCAACTTTTCCCCCTATCTTCCCTTTGTCGAATTCATGCCCCACTTTTACCACCAACCTCCATTAATTCCTAAACAAGCTCACCGCACTAAATCAGGCTACTTCTCTGAGAACGGATCCTCTCCGGAGCTAAGCAGCCGGAGCCTCTTCATCAAACAATTAGGATCATTGATTGATGTGCAAGTTAAATCAAGGTTGTTGGTTGTGTGTGGTGGCCAGTAAAATGAATTAATAGAAACCGTTGGATTCAATTTATGCGGTCTAAATTGTTTGATGAGGAGGTTTTAACTGCTTGGCTACGGAGAGGATCCGTTCTCCTCATAGTCAACTCCACCACTTCCTCTTCCATTTTCTACACCTTCTATGAAGCTCAGAGCCTCGAAGCCTCACCCGATCGCGATCCCTCGCAAACCCTGCTTCTCGTTTGGCTCAAAGGCAGCCCGGGATGCTCCTCCTTGTTTGGCAACTTCATGGAGATTAGTCATTGGTGTGAATGCAAATTTCTTCCTCCTTACTCTTGGACAAAATTGCACCTACAAAACAAATAACACCTTAGGTCAAGGCCAAGAGCCTCACGCGCATATGATGAATGAGGGGCTTTGGCTGAAGAACTTCCGATGCCAAAGTTAGAATTTTGAGGGAAAAGTGTTTGGAGAATTTAAAAAGTTCAGCAAGAGAATTAGGATTAGGTTTTTTTAGAGAAAATGGGGTGGTATATATAGGGCATGGCCAGCCCCCTTGGGAGAGAAGGTGACCGGCCTCTTGTGTGGTTTTTTAGGTGTAATGGTAGTTTAATTAGCCATTAATAGATTAATTAGGTAATAAATTCATTAATTAGCCAATTAACATAATCTAAAATGAATGTTTTGGGGGTTACCTTGTGGAGATGATGGATGAAATAGGTTTTGAATAAATACCTATTTTGGGCACTTTTGACTTAATTGTAGGATGATTGTCCACTACTTGCGCGTAGGAATCCCGGTGTGCTTCGAGTGTAATTTTATCCTTTTTATTCAAAAATCCACATGTCGCCTTGTAATTATTTTTGGCTCCACACTTGACATGTCAACCTTCATGCCGCCCACAATGATCATGATCAACAAGTACACTTTGTGCTTGAGCCAAACCTGGGTGCTTGGAACATAGTTTCTGGCCTTCTTTTCCTCGACAACCAAATTAGTACCTGATTTAGCATCGCACCTCTACCTTGTGATCATAAATTGGACAACATATTGGTTTTTTTCTTTCTTCATTTTTTCTTTGAATTTTAGAGTTTAGGGTTTAGGGGAAAGTTAAATTCAGGAGGGAATTAGCCAATTATAAAAATTCATGATGTAATTGGTTAAAATTAAAATTTAGGATGGTAATTGGCAAATCCTTACAAGTTCGGAGAGAAAATCGGTCAATACCTCTTTTTAAATCATTTTCTTCTTATTATTATTTAGGATGCTTTGGTAGATGATAATTTTAGATTGGTCAAATTTTATGTCCTCCCACACAAAATTTATTTCATGAATAAAATCCCCCTTACATGTTCAAAAGTTTATAAAAAAAAAGAAAATCAAAACTCAAGAGTCAAAAGTGCACATGAAAGCATTTACTAAATTCACAATCATCTCACTTTAAATGTTCATTAATCAATTTGAATGAAACCAACTGATTGAATATAATAATCATCATAAGTGAATTGCAATGTGACACGGTTTCATTAAGCTACGGAGGCTGAGATGATGGGTCCCGTTACGTTAGGTTTAGAATTCACATCGCTTCTAGATAACTAATTCATTTTTCATGACACGAGTATATCATCACATATGACATCCGTGTCGATGAAATAAGAGGTATCTAAATAAAAAATTACACATGTATTTATTTTATTGACATGGAACGTCACTTTGATGATGTAATCGTCCTACATAGGTAGTGTACTCGTACAGCGTAAATATTTATCCACAAAGAATGTAATATTACGTGAGCATGATGATTTCCTTGCATGAACTGTGTCTTTATACATTTGTATTGTACGGTTGTACCCAGAGAAAGACAAGAAAGAAAAAAATCGCGTAGGCAACAAGAGTCAAAATCAACAATGCTTGGAGGTGAGGAATGAGATTGAGAAGCCAAATCAAATGAATGTCACAAGAAAACATGCAATTTACTTGGCATCTTGTATTTCAAAGATTCGAGAAATTTTTTGATGTGTTGCAAACACGAAAAATTTTAACCAATTGTATTATGACACTTAATATATCGAGTTATTTTACTAGTATACTAAAAATTTTCTCCAAAGCTTCTTGTCATTATAGCAATCCCAAAAATTTGTACCGCTTAAAAATACCGAACTATGTCCTGACATACTAAAATAAACATTTCCGAAGATTCTTATCATTACATCAGCCCCAAAGATTCGCTTTACGACTCTTCCGACTTTGTAAGGTTGCAATGTATGTAAGCAGCTTGCTTGGCCGAGAGTTGACCTATGTAAAGCGACAACTCTTTTAGTTATTACTATTAGTACCTAAAATTTATCTGCTTCGTCACAAAATTCAACTTTATAATTAGTTTGAAATACTGCTGCTGGCACATGTATCATTCAAAGTCGTATGTATCGTCCAAAGTCGTACATGCCGCCTCTTTCAAGCTTTCCTTATTTCTATAAAGCCTTATCGTCAAGGAAGGTGTCTGCACTCCCTTGCACTCCACTTTTATCATCAATGGAGTCAACCGCCCGAAACCATCTCAACCTCCTCTTCCTCCTCCTCCTCCTCCTCTCCTTCTTTCAACGACGCGTCGCCACCGCATCGTCCCCCCCTCTCTTCCCTAAAGAAGCCCACCCCACCAAATCAGGCTACCTCCCGGTCAACTCCACCAGCGGCTCTGCCATTTTCTACGCTTTCTACGAAGCTCAGAACCTCACAACGGACATTTCCAAAGTCCCCCTCCTTTTCTGGCTCCAGGGTGGCCCCGGCTGCTCCTCCATGCTCGGCAACTTCTACGAGCTCGGCCCCTGGCTCGTGAATTTCCACAAACACCCTTCTGATCCCCTGGCCTTGGAACCCAATTCCGCCTCCTGGAACAGAATCTTCGGCGTGACCTTCCTCGACAACCCGATCGGTTCCGGATTTAGCATCGCCGCTAACTCAGCGGAGATCCCGAGAGACCAGGGCGCCGTCGCGAAACACCTCTTTGCCGCGATCACGAAGTTCATTGAGCTTGACCCGTCGTTCAAAACCCGACCCATTTACATAACCGGCGAGAGCTACGCCGGAAAGTATATTCCAGCGATCGGGTACTACATTTTGCAAAAAAATGCTGGGTTGCCTGCTGGGTCTAAAGCTGTGAACTTGCAGGGCGTTGCGATCGGAGACGGTCTCACAGACCCCATAATTCAGGTGAACACTCACGCCGTCAACGCTTTCCACTCTGGTTTGATCAATGAGAAACAGAGGAGGGAGCTGGAGAAGCTGCAAATGGTGGCGGTCGGGTTGACGGCGGCGAGGAAATGGAGCGCGGCGACGGATGCGAGAAACAAAGTGTTGAATACGCTGCAGCAGATGACGGGGCTAGCCACATTGTACGACTACACGAAGAATGCGGGATACAAGACGAGTTTAGTGGATGAACTGCTGAGGAACGAGGCGGTGAAGGCGGCGTTGGGGGCGAAAGGGGTGGCGCCTTTCGAGCGGTGCAGCAATCTGGTGGGGGATATATTGCACGAGGACGTGATGAAGAGCGTGAAGTACATGGTGGAGTATCTGCTGAAGAAGACCAAGGTGTTATTGTACCAGGGGCAGTATGATTTGAGAGACGGCGTCGTCTCGTCGGAGGCGTGGATGAAGACGATGAGGTGGGAGGGGATTGGGAAATTTATGGCGGCTGACCGGAAAGTTTGGAAGGTGGAGGGAGAGGTTGGTGGGTATGTGCAGAAGTGGGGGAGCTTGAGCCATGTTATGGTTTCAGGAGCAGGTCATCTTCTCCCGGCGGACCAGCCGGTGAGGGCGCAGGCGATGATAGAAGATTGGGTTTTGGACAAAGGGTTGTTCGCAAATGTTAAGGAATAAGAAAATACGAACTTGTTCCTTGTATTGTTTGTTGTTTAATATTTGTATCAAAATTGAGTGACTAAAATCCTCAACACTTCATATATGTACTTCAATAAAAAGAAAGCATAAAATAAAAAGTAAAATAAATAGTACTTTTTAATATAAAAATATGTAAAAATATGATTTTTCGTTGAAATAAATAGTAAGTTTTTGTTAAAGTTCTTTGAATAAATCCTCAACTATTCATATATGTACTTGAATTAATCCTCAAATATTTAAGATACGAGGTCGGAGGTTGAATAAATTAAAATTGAGTAGAGTACACTTTTTTAGTTAATTTCTTTCTTTTTTCAAGTCTTCTAGACGTAATCCATGACGTTTTCTTTCCAAATAAGTAAACATGCCAAGAATTCACGATGGTTAAGAAAACATTGAGAAATAATAATTTGAATAATATAGTAAGGTTTGTTATATAAAAACATGAAATGTAATGGCGATTGGAGGCGGATTTGTGAGAGGAGAAAAAAGGGAAGGAGGTGGGAAGGGAAGGTTTGGGAGTTTCCCAAATTTCCAAACCCACAAACTGACCAATGATTCAAGCACAAAACCCGTACTATGATGCCATCGTCTCCCACGGAACAGTGAAATCTGTGGAAGGACTTGATCTGTAGGGCTTCCATGGCAGGGGGTCCTGTAGAAAACCTACAGGTAAATCAGAGCCATTGATTCATTGCTCTGCCCTTTTGCCTCAGCCCTTTGATTTACTGAAACTTCAAACTTAGCAGCTGGGTAGGAGAGAAAGCTGGGAGAAAAAAAATGGCAGAAGGAAGATATGAACTAATAAGCTGCGCCCTCCCTGTTGAAACCCTAGCTCAGAAATATATTTATAGTCGCTCTAGAGGGCCATTGATTGTAATATGGCTAAATTGCACTAATAGCCGTTGTATTTTACGATTTTCTTTTCCGTCCTTGTAATTTGTTTTTTGTTGCATTTTTCTCTCGTCGAATGGGGCAAAATTTATTTCAAGCTTGGTGTTTTCGAATGATAAGATATGTTCATAGAAAAAAAGGGATCGTTATACTTATACGGAAAATTAGAGTTATCAATTATCTTTTTTGGTTTCGCTCGTATGCATAAGTAATGAATAGTATAACGATACTACCGCGAGAAAAAAATCAAAGAGGTGGCAGAAAAGAAACACTACAAAGCAGTATCAATCATTTGTATTTGTGGCGTCGGCCTACTTAGAAGTAAGCGAAAGAAAGCAATCAATGCAAAAGGCTAAAGTTAAGGGGTGGTAGGTTAACATACACCATCTTTCATAGCCGCTGCCTCTGCGTAGAACGTTGGCTATATGCTTAACATATTAGAGGAGGGAGAGGTAAAGAGATCAGAACAACATAATTTAAAGCTTTTAAATGAATTTTAGTTTTTAAGGTTCAGAAAACTTGAAGCCCTTATCGAAAAATATTACATAGTTCCCGCAGTTAGCTGAGAGACTTATAGCCGTTGTCGTGCAAGTGGAAGCTCGAGATATATGCCCAAACCAACGGATAGTGACTAATTAGACTAAACTGACAAAACAAATCAAAGGCATGGATGAAAATGTAAACAAAAAAAATCAGAAGAACGAAAATGAAAATGAAAAAATGATACAAGGATTATAGTGCAATAAAATATTAGCAGGATCGGGATATACGAACACTAAGGTGCACGGCCCAGCATGGCTCGTGAGGATCTCAGCCGATAAAGGCCCGGCCTTTCCTAAAGAGCCAAACGAAAAAAAAAAAAAAACAAAATCCTCAGACATGGAGTGAGAGATATGTAGACGACACACTTCTTGTCACTGTAGCTTCTCTGGAGAACCAAACGTTTCTGGATCGTTTGATGTTCTGTGCTCTAAGCAATTCGCAACGGGTACGCTGATTTCTCTTGTATATTCTGATCTTTTAATGTTAATTTCTTCATTTGACGTTGTCCTGCTGCTTGATAATGTTAAGAATGTTGTTTCCTACTTCCTAGGATTAAACTTTCGAAGCTTTGACACTTTGCAATCTTCTGGTGTGCCTGTTTTCTCAATCCTGTGCAGGTTTTGATGTTTTTCCTGTTTAGGCATGTCCAGCTCTTGGAGTAAGCTTCCTCTTTGCACATGGTATTGACAGTCTCATCTTTGCAGTCTGTAAGTTTCTAACTTTTTTGCTTCCTCCCATCAACAGCCTTAAATTTTATGCAGAATTTTCGATTTGGAAGTAAGATATGATAGAGTTACTCGCTAAGATGCTATGAAGTTGTGAACTTCCCCGAATCATGAATCTGTATCGTGCCGTGTGAGAGTTGAGAATTCACATCAAACTTCAATATTAGCGGAAGGGAATAGCTACAATGTACTTACAATTTTCGGTAGTACGAGAGTTTTCAGAGAGTTGCAGAATAACAGTGCATACAGTCGGGAAAATGGCCCGAGTCAAACAAAATGGCTGCAGTTTTGAGCGTGTAGAATGTGATAATATGTTAGTGTCCATGTGCGGTGTTATGGAGTTTAGGAGGAAAATAGAGCGCAACCATGTGCGGGATTAGAGTGATTGGGAGTGGCTAATATCTAGTTGCCATGTTGTCGTTAATCCTTTGGTATTTTGTTAAAACTGTTTGAAAACATAGGGATAAAGTCGACGTCTTTTATGTGATGATTGACAAATCTTTATAATCTAGATTATAGACAGGCATGGTGTTATATTGTAACCCTTACATAAAGCTTCCATTTCAGCGCTTCAGCGGGAATGGATTGATAAGTGCAATAGCTTTTGAAGCTGAGAAGGGATATCGGAATGCTTTGGGTAGAAAAATGAGGTCTGTAAGTTATATCCAATTTCGATTTTGCTTATGACAGTATGAAAGTAATAACGTGGACATGCCTATTGCCATTTGCAGGTTCAGTAATTTTCTCTTTTCAACAGTATCGAGATTATGTTCTCGTTCGAAGCATAGTCTTGCCAAAAATATTTTGGAAGAAGTAGGTAGTTATGGCATAGCTAGCATCTCAGATCGGTCAAAGTTGCTCAATAAGGTAGGTTGATTCATGAAAAGTTGTACTGTTTTTGTTTGATTGCTGTAACTTTATCTGATATGCATGTACAGACTACGGGAATGTGTAAGTTTGCTCTTCATTTTCTTCTGTTTCTGTTTCATGTAGGTATCTGTTTTGGTGGGTTATGATAGTCTTGATGATTTGGTTGAGAATGAAAGAGCTGAAAGGCAGTCCGGTATGCATGTTAGAGACGTGACAGATGAATTTGATGTCTCCTTGGTGTGTGCACGATTTCCATCAATCATGTTAGGTAGTTCCCCTCGGGTGGAATTGTATGATGGAACCACCAGTTTCAGTGAAAGGATGATTTTTCCAACTCAAAGTTGTGAAGAATTTCCGTCTGATGCTATGTGTGAAGAGCAGGTATGAAGATTATCTTTTTGAAATATGGGATTTTTTGTATCCTGCTTGTACAAGTGTAAAACATTTCTTATTAAGAGAAGATTTTTAAACGTTGCCCTTATCTCTCCAGTCCGCAACTGTGGTTACCGAGGAAAACTCACATCAAACAGTTCCTGTGGAGGAATCTTCTAACAAGGTTTTGCTTAAATCACAAAATGATACTGGGTCTGTTCAGTTTTCCTTGGACAGTTCTATCAGTTTCATACCTGGAATAAGTAAGAAGCGCTGTCAGCAGCTAGAAGACTCTGGCTTTCATACAGTGAGTTTTAGGAAATCATGTTAAAGGAAACATCACTCTTCTAATCGAGAATTTGAAAGAAGCCTTGGGTTCATATTGCTTTGCTTTTGTTTCCATACAGTTGCGGCAATTGCTTCACCACTTTCCTCGGACCTATGCGGATTTACAGAATGCTCAGATGAAAATTGATGATGGACAATATTTGATTTTCATTGGGAAGGTATTAAGTTCGAGGTATTAAATTGTTTCCAAAATATCTAGTGAGTTTTTGGTGCTAACCTTAGCAATTGGATGAGGTTAGGCACTAAAATTATAATCTGATAAATTCCAAGTTAGCTGACTTGTTAAGATTTTTAGTTTGTTTCATAGTTATGACTCATGAAGAGGTCGCACTTGGTGCGATGGTAAGTGCCTTCGCCCATGAGCGGTAGGTCTCGGGTTCGAGACTTGGGAGCAGCCTCTCCATAAATGGGGGTAAGGCTAGCCGACATTCACCTCTCCCAGACCCTGCGTAAAGCGGGAGCCTTGTGCACTGGGTACGACCTATAGTTATGACTCATGAAACAATGAGAAACAAATATGTTTCAAAAAACAATGAGGCACAATGTAACTTGGTGACAGACACCTTGATGTTCTGACATATGAAATGATGTTAATCTGTTTCTTTTTGAGATTAATGGATATCTAGTTCAATGACATAATAAAGAACATTTAATGGCACATTGTTTGCTAGGATTGTGCGTTTGTTTCTCATATCTGGTAAGGCATCTCCAGAGATGCTAAATGTATTTATATTTATTTGTGTATGTATTCACTTATAGATTTACTTCTTTTTCATCCAATCTGCAATAAAGTTTTTGTTTTTAATATCTATATCTTACCTCTTCTTTTACAGGGGAATCAAAGCTAGTAGTTCTTTCTCATTTATTGAGGTAGTTGTTGGTTGCGAAATTATGGACGATGAATCAACTGAACATATGAATGATTCTGCTGATAGTAGAAGAAAGAAGACGATTTCTTTGCATCTGAAGAAATTTTTTCGGGGTGCTCGTTTTACTTCTCTACCATTTCTTAGACTTGTTGAGGGAAAGCATAAAGAGGGGGACTTTGTATGCGTTAGTGGTAAGGTAAGCTTTTAGATACAATGGATGTGCAGTTGCTTCAATTGGCTCACCCTTCCATGTGCTGAAACCATTAGGGAGTAACAGAATGAGACTTTTTTATGAAATTTTGTACCAGTGCTATCTAAAGATTTATCATTTCATTTTCTAGTCTTTCCCTTAATTGCCTTGTCCTTTCGTGCTGCCTTTTAACACAGGTAAGGACAATGCCCGCCAAAGATCACTATGAAATGAGAGAATATAATATTGATGTGCTTAAAGATGAAAATGAAGTGTGTTTTCATGCAAAAGGGAGGCCTTATCCTATATACCCTTCAAAAGGAGGGTTAGATCCAAATATTTTGAGAGACATCATTGCAAGGTTTGTACCTCTGACCTTTTGCATAACTTCATTTCTAACATCATAACATAACCGCTCTAAGTTTCTTCAGCGGGGTTACATTTTCCAATTCTAATTTAGTATCCCCTTACTCTAAGTTCTTTATACAAACATACATTAGTTTTTTGGGTGAGTGGCTGGTTTCTCAATATTAGAAATCTAATTGTGTTTTTATCATTTATGCAATAACATTCCTCCGTTCATCCTATCGGAGTTACTTCTTAGTTCTTTGCAGCTGTTTGGAATTGTTTGAACTATTGTATTAATTGGGTAATTTCTTTGTAATTTGCTCCAAGACGTGTAAACTAAATGTCTACTATTTTTACTCGTTCCAGAGCTGTACAAGTTTTGGCTGTTGATGTTGATCCTGTACCTAAAAATATCACTCAGGACTTTGGGCTGTTAAGCCTTCATGATGTAAGAAACTTCACTTTTATCCTTAGTATCAGCATATATGCAATTCATACTTTTGACTATGGTCACTTATACCCCTGTGTACATGTATATGTTAAAGAGCTAGCTATATGTGCCCCTTGCTGTTCTTTTTATAAGTTGTTTTGGCATTTAGAAAAATTTGAGCTGTTGTGTTTTTGCTCTAATAATACAGGCGTATAAGGGGATTCACGAACCAAAGAGTATGGACGAAGCTGATTTGGCTCGGAAAAGGCTAATATTTGATGAGTTCTTTTACCTGCAGGTGATTTTGATCCAAATTTCTTAATAAGTTTTTCTCTAAGATTTGAACTGACCTAGTTGTCATTGCCTGTCAGTTAGCACGCTTATATCAAATGCTTGAAGGTCTTGGTACACAAATAGAGAAAGATGGATTGCTGGATAAGTACAGGAAACCCGTATCAAGTGCTGCTTATATGAAGGATTGGTCCATTCTTACCAAAAAGTTTTCAAAAGCTCTTCCATATACCCTTACTCCTAGTCAACTCACTGCCATTTCAGAAATCATCTGGGATCTAAGGCAACCAGTTCCTATGAATCGGCTTTTGCAGGTTATACTCTTGTTTACAGGATGTATCCAATATTTTTCAGATTTGTTACAGTATGAAGCAATGTAACTGCATATAATGTAACTGGAGCACCTGCAGTATATACAAAATAAGGACAAAACATGATGGTTTTTGGCGGGCTTCTGGTTGAATACAATTTTAAGTCTAGACTTTTGCCCTAATTCTCTTCCTCACTCTCTTTTCAAATCGGCCTGCCTGGGTTCTTCCTCCTGATTACCATAGCATGCGCAGTAGGTATACTCGAAAAATAGAAAAGATTCTTGATTGATGATATGTTGTTACACATTTTCAGGGTGATGTTGGTTGTGGGAAAACTGTGGTAGCTTTTCTAGCATGCATGGAGGTTATTGGCTCTGGATATCAGGTCTGTGAAACACCTGTTTTGTAGAGTTAAAATATGACTACAATGTGTGAGTTTCTGTTTGTTTCCTTGATTCATTTCAGACCTTTGACCATTTGTATTTTCATAAATGTAATAATAGTTATGATCTTTGTTCCTGATTGTTTTTATTTGTTTCATGTAAATTGTAAAGGCAGCTTTCATGGTTCCAACTGAGTTGCTTGCAGTCCAGCATTATGAGCACTTAAATAATCTGCTTGAAAATATGGAGGATGTTGAACAAAAACCTTCAATTGCTTTACTAACCGGCTCAACCCCATCAAAACAATCACGGATAATTCTTGAGGCATGGATTAATGTCCAGTTCTTTTGTTTTCTTGAGTATAATGTTTCAGGCATCCTAGTTATTGGTAGTGATACTATCATTGATATTGCGTGTATCAGGGTCTCAGGACTGGAGAGATATCGATGGTCATTGGAACCACCAGTTTGATATCTGACAAAATAGAGTTCTCTGCATTACGCATTGCAGTGGTGGATGAACAACATCGTTTTGGTGTGATCCAGAGAGGACGGCTTAACAGTAAGGTTGTTTGCTTCTAATTGAACCAAGTATTCTAGTCATGTCATCTGGTGGTGTAGTACTCCGTTTCTATCCTGTGTGCACACTGATTCCTTTAGACCTTATGGAATATGGAAGATCAGATTTTGATGGTATCTTTCCAGGAATTCATTTTGTCTAAACTTTTTAGTGTGCCCTTGCATGCTGCTTGCGTAGTTCTCAATGTTTCCATGAGTTACTATGTATCGTTATAGGGTATCATTACTGTGGCATGAATAATTCAGTCCTTGAAATATGAAATGATTTTGTTACTGTAATTCGTTTTGTAAGATGAGCTAACTGAGGCACAAATCTCTGCAGCTATACTATACCTCTGTAAATTCTAGAATGGTAGCTGCCAATTCAGATGTGACCTCCAAAGGCGACAACCATATGGCTCCTCATGTTCTTGCCATGTCAGCTACTCCTATACCGAGGACACTTGCTCTGGCTTTATATGGTGATATGTCATTGACACAGGTACGCGTTTTTCTTCTTGCTCCTTGATGCTTTTGATGGGATGGTGTTCTCCCCCTTTCTTTTCTCAATTGGATATCAGGCTTTAAGACAGTGATTTAAATTTTAAAAACTACACTGAGACGCCTAATCCTAAAGGCTTGTTTGCAATGAAAAAGGTTCATGGCACATTTTAAAAGATTATTAGGTCCAAGAATAAAAATTAATGTTATAGGGATATGTTTTTAGTTTAAAATTTAGCGGGCGCTACATTTGTATAAGTTGATATCCTGTATTGAGTGTTTGTTAATTCTTTCGTTTCCATTTCCTTTGAATAACAGATAACCGACTTACCTCCAGGAAGAATACCAGTTGAGACGTTCATCATTGAAGGAAATGACAATGGATTTGAGGATGTTTATGAGGTGATTGTCCTTGCTTAACTTTGTTACAGCGCTCTAATATATTTCTTTTCTTATTTTCCCCTAGAAACGAAGGTGTTCTGGTTTAAATAATTTCATTTTTTCCGATTGCAATGAAATATTTGATATTTGAAACTCGATAAAGCCAGTGATGCATAAAAGGTTTGAATTGAAACTCATCATTCGGTTAAGAGATCATGGTCTTCTTCACAAGACGGATATATTATTTTCTTGCTAGACTAGAATAGAAAGATTTCACTGGTTCTAGCTTTTGATTTTATTATTTTCTGACTCAAATGATATTAGCATGTAACAGATGATGCTGGATGAGTTAAAAGGAGGAGGGAGAGTCTATCTTGTGTATCCAGTTATTGAACAATCTGAACAGCTGCCACAACTTCGTGCAGCTGCAGCAGATTTTGAAGCTATATCTGATAGGTTTCAGGGCTACACTTGTGGATTGTTGCATGGAAGGATGAAGAGTGATGAGAAAGATGAAGCATTGAGAAAGTTCAGATCTGGGGAAACAAATATACTGCTTTCCACACAAGTTATTGAGATTGGTGTTGATGTTCCCGATGCATCTATGATGGTTGTTATGAACGCTGAGAGATTTGGGATAGCTCAGTTACACCAACTTAGAGGACGAGTTGGACGAGGAGTGAGAAAGTCTAAATGTATACTGTTAGCATCTTCTTCCAGTAGTCTAACTCGGTTGAAGGTCCTGGGGAAATCATCAGATGGTTTTTACTTGGCAAACATGGACCTTCTTCTACGTGGACCTGGTAACTTGCTTGGCAAGAAACAATCAGGACATCTTCCAGAGTTTCCTATTGCAAGATTGGAAGTAGATGGCAATATCTTACAGGAAGCACATCTTGCTGGTCTGGTAAATAGTACTCCTTTTGTGTCCTTTTATCGTGTAATTTGGTGATAATTTTGGTTACCATTCTCTTACATCATTTCTGTTTTCCTATGAGAGACTAGACTATTAGTACATAAACACTAATCCGTATGCAAGAATTTTTTGCTGCAATGCCTGTTTGGTTGATGCTCGGGTTCATGCAGTATACCTCCTTTAACATATGCGATGGTTCCTTTTTCGCAGAAAGTTTTAGGCGCTTCCCATGATTTGGAGCAATTCCCGATCCTTAAGGCAGAGCTTAGCATGAGAGAGCCGCTCTCTATTCTGGGTGACTGAGTCTAGTCGTGGTAAAACTGAAACCTTGCAAATCTATACAAGATGAAATTGCTTGTATTGATGGCTTCTTGTCCATTTTTATTTTGTGCCCCTTTTGTAAATGTATAACTGCTTTCAGGAATCATGCCATATATACCATATATGTCGCAAGCTTGATGCTTCTGCTTGATTTCCTTGGCGGTAATCCTTACAACTTAATGATTGTACTTGTGATATGAATTGGTTTGATATTAGAACAGTCCTTTCTTAACGACTAGTCATGAAGAAAGTTGCCCAGATCGAGTTTGGAGAGCAAGCACTAAATATGCAGACATGTCCATTTTTGCACACCGGCGTATCCAGACATGCTTTTTGCCATTGAAGTAGATTGTTAATCGACTAGTTTGTAGTCATTTTTACATATTTCGATATGTCAGCATCCTAACAATCTGCTTGCTTGCATCGAAGAATTCTCAAACATTTGGAAAGAATGTGGCTGATATGCTGTTTAGTTTTTATCGTTTTGCTTCTGTTAACGTTTTGATCTGTACCTAGGATTTTACTGTAGTTGTAAACAGGAAGTTTTATATCATCTTCTACTGATCTCAGTGTCTCACTCCCCCTCTCCTTTGATTCCTTCACAGACATTCGTTTAAATCGACTCGTCTTCTTTAAGATATGCTGTTCGAAACGTAAAGGTTTTTCGACAAATTACAGTAATTTTCATGGAAAGACTGCTGCTCACGTACTTCCCTGTGAAGCTCTCTTTATCTGCAGAACATCCTGCTCAGGAAAGGACTTGAGAATATTTTGTCACAAACTTTTGAAGAAAGTCGGTACATGCTTTCATGGAAATCTTTATGTCGTTCTGTTGAAAATATATGTTGTGTAGAATATTCAAGGTCTTTATTTTTTTGGGCCAATGACTCCCAAGTAAAAAGAAAGATGACTATACCGTAGTGCTAATGACATGTTAACGATGGACTTCAAAGAAAAATAGTTTCTCGAAAATGTCAAGGAGTATGCATCGGAATCAAGTCATCAAAATTTTGAGTAGGGAAATGTATAATTCAAAGGAGATATGATTGATTTCCACATTAATCACTGTATATGCTAAATCTCAATTCGGATTCAGTGTCACCAATATAATTCCTATGGTTTCTATCAAGAACATCATCAATTGATTTTGACCTAATGAATGTGCTATAATAAAGTCTAGATCAGCAATGCGACTGACAATACAACTTTTTGGGACGAATATCATATCGTCACGTTATTAATTTACGTATTATAATATGAATAAACGATATTGATAATATGTTACGGATCAAAAGTGAAATTATGGATTCATGTTTTAACCAGTGGCGAATCTGAAAAATATTATGTGGGGAGAAGGGTCAGTAAAAATAGCGTGCGAATTTATTTTGACAAAATAGCATGCAAATTAGCATTTCATGGTAGGTTCAAGGTCATTTTCCACGTCCATCGACATATATCAACAACTTTTGAGCGAACATGTTGATTTATGTCAACAACTTTTGAGTGAGCATGCCGACATATGCCAACATTGACAAGTAAGCCTATCAACATATACCCATAAAAATGCGTACTAAAGCATGAGGTTAGCAGCTACCTTGTCCAGTGCCCTTAACGGCAATTCGTCAAATAGTTAGAAAATAGCTTTCAAATGTATCTTAGATTTTCAAAATACAGCACCCAATTACAAGTGGATTGATCACTTGACGGTGTAAAGGTTTGTAAATCTTCACGAGTGAGTGTGAAACCACAAGGTTGACAGTGGTGGGCACCTGGGACATGGATCCTCTCCGGCTCCATGCATCCTAATCCTAGGGATTCACCAATCCGGATCATTGAAATTTGATCAAACGGTTACAAATATGGGCCACTTTAAAGTTATAATAATTTTAACCGTTGGATCAAATTTCAATGGTTCGGATTGATGAATCCCTAAGATTATGATGCATGGATCCGGAGAAGATCCATGTCCGGGCACCTGTTATCCAATGGGATTAGGGGGCACGGTAAATGTTTGATGGAATGCCCAATCAGCAACTCACGAGCGGGGACAAGCAGACAAGTGGGTCCAGTACGGTCCCCTACCAATCATTCAAAAGTGGGGTTCACAGCCACCATGTTCCATGACTTGTCTTCTATGTTATGATCGAAGTGGATCCCACATCCCCACGCCTTTGCCAAATATGCAATAATAATTCTCTTTTCTCTTCAGAAATATAATAATTTATCCTAAAAAGTTGGGACTTTACGACCGAAAAATCAAATAAATAAAAAGAAAGAAAAATAAATAATCGAATTTGGGACTTGACCCAATGGCTCTTGCTGGGAGTTGAAAATCTGGGCGATGAGGGCATGGGAAGGCCGTTTTGTGTGCACGAATGAGTGCATACGACGAGAAGCGAAACTGAGACCAGCTGATGATGATTTGACAGCCTTGTCACGTTACGATTCCTAATAGTTTTACTAATGAGAAAAACTTAAAACTTTTTGTGTGCCATGTTTCTCATCATTTAATGCGTGACAGAAACAAAAAACAAAAAATACATACACTTCATTCCATTGCACCAAAGTCACTCTCTAGTTAATGCCAAAGTAATCAATGCAAAAGTAATCAATTGGCTTTTATCGAATCATATTCATGAGGATGTAGAGAGTTGGTTCATAAAAGAAGTTAAGAAATCTTTCATACGCTAAGACTAAAGCTTGCACCACGTTTGAAGTCCAATTGTCATGCGTTCTCAACTTCTCTCAAGATATGATGTCGAAGTCCAATGTTCAAGAGTCATCACACTTTAGCATTCATGTAAACAACATGATAATTTTACGCCAGTTGTTTGATTTTAATCTATAGAAATGTCGGTGTGTCTCACAAGGTGTTGGGTTTGATTGGTTTGGTATTTGACAAACAAAAAAACACAAATGGCCGGTTGTAATTCTTCACATTCTGTGAAAAAGGGAAGGATCGAGGTGATAAATTATTTGGGACATTGGATATTGATTTTCCTGGTCAAATCTATTGAGTACACATTTCAGTTGTTCTACCTAAATAAATATTCCATTAACTGTTCCTCAATAATTAGGCTCCTGATTTTTATTTTGATGACCAGTCTTCTGGTGGAATTTGGGAAAAATTAACATGTTTCCAAATTCCAACCATGAATAATTAGTAGAGGAACCTCATGATTTCATATAACATCTTATTAGTAGAAGAACAACGAAACATAATGTTCGCCGTTACTGTGGTGTTTCGATCCAATAACACAACATATCATGTAAATCTCTTTAGACGTGGTATTGCATTATCGAACCGAAACGTTGCTATAACGATAAACTCCTTTCATATAAGTTCCTTTGGACTTATATTTTATGTTTAGTGTGAGAGAGAGGGGAAGTAAACCCTAGAACAGTTAATTCAAAGTCATTGGTGCAATTACAGAGGCATTTAAAATGAAGAAGGTTGCAGAAAATTAGCAAAGCTCTTGCTTCATAAATGGCTCTGCTCCACAACACCACACCTCCCCCAGAATTATGTCATTTTCTTCTTAAGCATTAATATTTTGAGTAAACGTTACGACTCCTTTTGTACCCGCAAACCAGATAACTCATGCAGCATTCAATTTTCCCATGACCCAAACACTACGTAACAATACATTGCCATTAATATATATACCCACATATTTTAAATAAAAATTTAAAATTTAAAACAAAAAACATTCTATCTAATGTGTCGCATCCCCATACCATCCCTTTTCCTCTGCATCACTGATCAATCTCTCAATGGCCCTGATTCAATCAATTATCATGAAAGTTGGTAAATAATAATTCCCCTTATATGTATGCTTATCGGTCGGTCCATGAAATCGGTTATTCATTTTCCCTTTAAGAGTAGAGGGGGGACAACAAAAATGTTGTATATTTACATAAAACGAGTATATTGTAAAATTATATAATAACAGGGTTCTAAGCACAATACGGATTATTATATAAAAAAATTATTACAAGCATGATATCACATTATAAATTTAATAAACAATTGATTTATCTGTTTCATGCAAGTCATTCTCGGGCGCGGAGAAATAAGGCTCAATACCTAGGGGTGGTTCGGTATGGGATCCCATACCGAAACCCTTGTCCCGATTCCCAAACTGAAATTTTTGGGAATCCCAATTTCAATACCGATCCCAAACCAAATTTTTGGGAATCTCGAAATAGTTTCAGGATTTCGAGACAAATCGGGAATCCCGAAATGGTTTTGGGCTTTTGGGTTTTGGACTAAAATTTGACATATTATGCTTTTGGGCTCAATTTGCCAATTTGTTTCTACTAATCTGCCAATCAAATGGCAAGGCATGTTTGTACTAATTTGTGCACAAATTTGAGTCCGTGTACACCAGTAAGTACAATTGTAGCATAAAAAATAATACGCTAGCTTAAATTTCTATATAGCACATGAATCTTTCATCTCAATGCATATGTGAACCATCCAGATGAAGAATTATTAAGGAGGGGCAAGGTATCAAATAATCAAATTTATATTCAATGGTTGAGATTAAATCTCAACAGAATCCGACGGCTATTAAAATTCTAAATATATATTTAAAAATTAAACAATATATATATAATTCTTTTTTGGTTCGGTTTGGGAATACTGAAATCCCAAAAACTTGAGACCGATTCCCGTACCTAAATTTTGGGATCGGTTCGGTATTGGGTACCGAAATTTTCGAGAATTTTGGTTTGGAATTTTTTTAGTTTGGTTTCGAGAATTTTTTGGTTCGGTTTGGAATTTTTGGGATTTTTTTACAGCCCTATCAATACCCAAGCTCATGGTTCCCAATCATTTCATCAGCTGACCTTTCAACCGACAACCACCCCCTTCTTTTGTAATCGCCTTTAACAGGAAAACTTGCCGGCTATTATACCACACAGGTTTCTCTTCAGTCCTACACGTGTCTTCCATCCCAACGGTCAGAACCTATGACTTGACGACAACAGTCAAGAAAACCCTAACCAATACTCCATACATCCTCGTCCCGTTCATACTTTTATGCTCTTTTTACTCCTTTGCCCTTCCTCCATTTCTATATGTTGTCCTCTCTCCCCACTAGTTATGTGACCTTTACACCTTTTAACTTTTTCTCTCTATTTCATCATATCTGGTTTTGTGGTTTTAATCTGTCTCCTCCTGTTTTTACTTTACCCTTTCCCCCTCTCTCTCCTCCTTTCTTCTTCTTAATTCTTCATCCCACACCTGCAATTAGGGTTTCTATGGCGGTTTTACCGACGGCGATGGCGATGGGATCTTCGAGCTTGGAGTTGACGATATCCGTACCCGGCTTCTCTTCGTACCCGTCTTTTCCTAATTCATCTGGTAAACGAACCCACCAAGCTTTTCCTCCTCCATTTTTCTACACCATATTTTTCATGCATAAAGTATATTAAATCGATTGATGTTTGTGTATTATTTGGAAACCTATTTTTAGCTTTAAGATATCAGATATTCCCAGTATTTTCTTTTGTTTTTTTGTTTATCAAAACTTAATTAACATATGATCGTTTTGTTTTTAGTTGATTTTTAACATATATACGATACGATCTTTTACCCGGATATCATGCATGTCTTTCTTTTTACCCTTTTCCCCCGAGAAGTCATTCGTATTTTATATGGACAATCCCCTAAACCCTAATAAACTCTCTTTGCCATTTCTCACAAAGACAAGTTTGGTGGCCAATATTTGTTTTAAAACTTTTTCTTTGGTACATATATAAATTAATAATAAGTTTGCAAGAAGGTTGTAGCTCGAGCGGTAAAGAATATTTATTCTATGTTTAAATATGGTGAATTGGGTTTTGCAGTGAGAGACTTGGACATAAACCAAGTACCATCACTACAAGGAGATCAAGAAGAGTGGATGA